AATAGACTGGATGGATTTTCATGAGGTCTTGACTTCTGTGATCCCCAAATTCTGTTCTTCAGCAGTGCTGTACAGATTGTAGTGACCTCAAAAGCAAATATGTGATGTTTTACAAGAATATGAAATTAGGCTGTAAGCAAGAATGCAAATTTAAAACTGCAATGACAAAAAGAAAATCCTTTAGGTGTTGCTATAGTACGAATTGTATTTTAATGTTAGTTCAAGCTCTGCCCAAACATGGCTCCTCAAGCCCCATTAAAGGTTTCTGTTTTAAGCGTGAACATGCTTTTGAGCACTAGCTGGCAGTTACTGGAAAGCAGGTTTCACTTTGTGACTGGCAGCTGGCCTGCTTTACAGTGAAAATGCAGCTTAATTAGGCTGGAGATAGATTTGGAGAACTAATGTGACCAGTAATTCCTCACAAAGCTGTATTGCAGGCTTTCTTCTCCCCCTCCCACTTTAACAGTGTCATTTAACCCCGGTTGCCTGTTCCATTTCTGCCACTCTTGTACAGAACATTGGCCTTCCAAGAAGCTGGTCTATACTGTCAGCCAGAAACTAAGAGCAGCTGTTCTGTGAAATATCATCAGCAAATCCTAAATGAGATTTTTAATGGATAAATGGAAAGGTAAAGGACATCACAAATCCATTTAGAGATAGAAGCTGTTGTTTTGTAGAAAGTTGAATACATGAGAGAATTATGGGTAGACCCACAGCAGATGTTTTGGCACCTCTGTTCCTTTGCTGAATGCTTTTGCTCTTAGCCAATAGAGCTTCTCAGAGTGAGGGTAACTGCCTGAAAATCCCATTTACATAAATAAGATTTTGAAGCAAAATGCCAAAGCTGTGGGATCATTCAGGCCAGAACCGAATTTTTTGAAGCTGCATTTCAAAGCAGAGAATCCAGGAGTTTCACCTGCTGCACATTAGTATGTCACTGCAGATACTGTTTCATGGTTGTGGCACAAGTAAAGATTTGCTGATCAAACCTTCTCCCTGCAATAAATTTAGCCATGGCTATGCCTGCAATAAGGAGGAGAAAAAGGTGCCTTTCTTGTGCCCAGGAGCAGAAAGATGCAGTTAACTGGCTGGGCTGAGAAAAAGTCACAAGTTCTTGTACATACAGCAGAGCTTGTCCTAAGAATGCAAAGCTCCCTGGAAAGGCTTAGAAATGAAGGTAATCATAAAAAAAACCCCACCATAGTCTATCTCAAGTTGGAAGGGACCCATAAATATCACTAAATCCAACTCCTTGTTCCTTGCATGACCACCTGAAAAGAGTGTCACTCAGACTCTCCTTGAACTCTTGTCAGCTGTGGTGTCAGGACTACTTCCCTGCGGAGCCTGTTCCAGTGGCCAACCACCCTCCCAGTGAAGAACTTTTTCCTAGTGTCCAATCTGAACTTCCCCTTCATTCCATGCAGCTTCATTCCATTTGTGTTATGTTTTCTAGCCAAGTCTTCAAAAACTTAAAAGGATAGAGATTACACACCCTCTTTGAGTATCAATTCCAGTCAAGCTTTTCCTAACATCCAACCTGGGACTCCCAAGCTGTATTGTGTGGCCACTGTCCCTTGTTCACGTTTTCTGTTAGTAGCAGAAGATTGAACAGTATGGCTTTGATATTGCCCTCCTGAACACTTTCTCTGTTACCTGTTGTCCACCAGTTGAATGTTAAGTTGTTTTGTGTTCTCAGCCTGGTGTTCCATTCATCCAGCTCATATGCTTCAGCTTCTAAGGGAGACTGCTGCAGGAGGAGGTGTCTGTTACGGCCTTCGCCTCATCTCCATCATTGTCGAACGTCATCGAACGCAGGGCTATCGAATGGTCAAGTGTGATTTGCCTTGTGGCAAGTCTGTCTTGGCTGTTTCTTTGTCCTGCACGTATTTAGGTTTGAATTCCCTTTCAAACTCATTCTGAACTTGCCGTCTTTCTGAAATACTCAATCATGCAGCTTCAATAGCAATAACGTCCCGATGAGAGGAGATTCATAGGTAGCTATAGGTTCATGAAGTTCTACAGTTCATGGTTTACACTAGTTTTCTATAATCCAAGCTGAGAGATGCACACACACAAAATACAAGCCAGGCTTAGCTGTTTTCTTTTCCTGTGCTATAGGTTATCTGGCGCTAAATATACTGCCTATGTAACCGTGAGCATCTCCTGTAGGGTTATTTAGTGTTGGTTCAGACCAGCCAGCGTGTGCTGTGGGCAGTCAGCCCTTATGTGTCTGTGAGTTAGATCAGTCTGTTCTGATTTCCCTTAGAGAAAGATAAAGGTTTGAAATGCAGTTTATACCTGACACTGAAAGGAATTTCTTCTTGGATAGCCAGAAATCCTTGTCATTCCTGATTGTGTGGTCTGCATGACTGCCAGCAAGTTGGTTCCACATGAACAAATGAGTCATCTGTATTTAGCAACCCCTGAAAACATGATTTATCAGCATTGTGCAGGCTGAGTTGGCAGAAGATCTGACTACCTGACAGTTGTTTAACGTGTCAGCCAGGTCGCATTATCTGCCTGTTGACTTGCTTTACTCCATAAATCTTGCAAGCATTAAAACAGGAAGGGGGGAATCTCCTCAGGGTAGTTGGGGGTGAATATTTAGGCCAAATAAATACCATCAGGTGCCTATGCCATGATTCACATACTCTAAAGACAGGCCAGAAATGAGACAGATTTCTGAGCTGGAGTATTTGACCTTTGTTCCTTGTACCCTGTTATCGGTATGCAGTCTGTGCATGGCTTGGTGCATATGTTGCCTCTGAAGGTGCATCCTATATCCACCGCAGCGAGGCAGCACTGGCTTGCTGCTGCTCTGCTGAGGTCTCAGTATCTCTGTTAGTGCAGAGACTCTAAACATGGTGATTGCACCCAGGTATGACCCCACCAGGCAGGGCTAGTGCTTTCA